TTTTCCCACAATGATATGAGTTGAGCTGACGTTTCCATTGAATTTCACATAGCCTTGCTTTCCTAAAAGTGGTTCTCATCCAGGCACCAGTGGACTGCAGTTTCGACCTCGCATCGGTCTTATCAACCCCCTCAGCGGGACTCGAACCGCGACAGTGCCGGACGGTAGCTTGACACGTTAACCACTCGGCTACACTGCCACGAGTACCCTTGAGTCACAGGGTATAAGTGAATTTCAAGAAAGGTCAGGCCTCTTTGCTTTATCATATCCTTTGGTGGGAGTGCCGATGAAGCAAACGTATCTTTGCTATAGCAATCGACTACGTTAGTTATTTTCATATTAGAGTAAAGTTTCGAGACTACCAGTAAATCCGTAATATGAGATGTATTCACCCAATTTGGTTTAAGGTGATGAAGGACTGGTAGAAGAAGAATTTTCCTACAATAATGAGTTGAGCTGACGTTTTCCATTGAATTTCACATAGCCTTGCTTTCCCAAAAGTTGTTCTCATCCAGGCTGAGGTGGACTACAGTTTCGACCTCGCCTCGGTCTTATCAACACCCCCAGCGGGAGTCGAACCACGTGTTAGCCTCAGCCTCGGACGACCATCTTCTACGTTCAAAAGTAGTGTTTCTCGAGTAGGTTTTCACTCGGTCGTCAGACTGAAAGTCATGAGTAGTCATACAATTGTCCTTTATGGCTGACTCATTTTTCGACGCCATTTCGTCTCCTTCTCAGTTGGCCTATCAGCACCTCTGGACCTCGGCTCGAGGTGCCCCTCCAGCGGCTGTGTCCGGTGCTCGGTCGACCGCCTACCTCTTCTCTGGCGCAGGGGATTCCAGCGACCATCGTTTGATTCCTCGTCACCATGGCGACACCAGGTCTTGTGTCTATTCTCCGGTTGTGGAGTTGCCGTGCTCCAAGCGCAGGAGCCGTTCAGACGAGGAAGAGGATTTCGAGGAGGAAGACGATGAGGATGAGGATGAGGAGAGAACAGGCCTTGATGACGGGCAAATCCCAAAGAGAAGGGAAGAAGAGGATGAGGAAGAGGAGGAGGAGGAGGAAGAAGAGGGGGAGGAGGAGGAAGAGGAGGAGGAGGAGAAGGAGGGAACGGAGAAGGATCACGAAGGAGGCAAATTCGAGACTAGTGAGCACCATCCATTCGGTGAGTTGGTGAAGACGCGCAAAGTGAAGCACTCCGCCCGCACTGGCGGCTTCCGGGCGACTTTCATCGCCAGCTCGAAACCGAAACGGTCGTCAAGGCGCGACGTGAACGAAGACCTCATGTCGTCGTGTCAAAACGCTTTCGATGAGGTCGGTGAATCCGAGTCGGCCGAACTGGCAGCCGGTTTGTTGCATCGAATCTCCGGCCCAACAGCCGCCATCGAGAAGGCGCAAGCTCGAGCCCTGGCCGCCGGAATGACACAGGCCATGCTTGCTGGCCGGCTCACGGGCGCCTGCTTCATGGCCGGCCCTTCGGAGGTGCCAGTTCCTGTCCCGGCCGGACATAACGTGCGCATGTGCATGCAATCAGGTGACTTCCGATTGGTGGGAGGACGAGTCAACTTGTCCTTTTCCCATGCCAACTAGCACAGAAGGAGCCTTCGAGGCTCTGCGCTCGAGTTTGTCGGAAGGTTTATGGTCATTTTGGAAGTGTAGCCAAAGGGATCAACTGGGCTCCAATGAAACACTTGAGAAAACTTTGTTGTGATAGGAAAATGTTTTTGATGAAGAGATTCTTTAGTTGGTCAAACCGAAAGACGAAGAATTATCCCAGTTGATCTACAGACATTTGACTTTAATTCCATGCCTAGGTTGACATGGCCTACGAGACAAACTGCCTTATTTTGGCGGAAACGAGCCTAGCTTTCGTCCGTCCAGCCACATGGCAGACACCATCAGAGCTGAAACTTAACATTAAATCAAGAAGACTATCTGACTTTATTCTAAATACTAAATATACTGTTGTATGTACAAAAAAATGCGAGTTTAGAAGAATCTTCTGAGATAGGCTTGATGTGAAAACTTTCATTTCGTATGAAAGTTCATGATGAACGTTTCGTAGGTCATTGTCACCAGAAGACGTCGGCTGATTCGCGTTGTGCTGCAGCAGTTTGGCATTACTACGACCACGAGACATCCTCCAACGTTTCGGGAGAAGACGAGCTGAGCTTTCGTTTGTCATGTGACGAACATCGTCAGAGCTGGGACTCATTCTCGCAAAAGCCTCAAGTTAACATTAAGTCAAGAAGACTGACCGCTTTTTTTCTATATGACATATGCACTCGTTGCGAGCAAAATTTAAGATATAGATGGATATAGAAACGTTTAGAAAATTCACATACACTAGAGTATGCCTGTACCTTAACGTCTGTACGCAAAACTAGCGAAAACTCAAAGAAATGAAAAAAAGACTTAGTATCTGCCCCAGGTCGTCAAGGCCTAATGACGTGAGGAAAATAGAAAAGAAAAAAAGGATGACCGAGATTGCATTAGTGCGTTACTAACCCTGATTAATTTGATGAGATGTAGGTCTGTACGCGTAAAAGTGAGGTTACGAAACCATCCGTCCGAACCCGTTAGTCTGGGCTTAATGACCCAAGGATTTGCTCAGCCATTCTTCACCCGAAGCGTTGAAGGATGTCGCATGGACTGCATCAGCCTGAATTTTATATCAAAGCCATACGACTGCAGTACAACGCAAATCAGCCGTCGTCTTCTGGCGAGATCGACCCACAAATCTCTTCAGCATGTACATTTATACGAAATGTAGGACTTCACAATAAACATAGTGTTGTCTAAAAACCAAAAAATGTACATATAGATTGATATAGAATGATTTGGCTGGTCTTCTTTCATATCAGTCAGTGTGTGTATGCCGCAGACTGGTTTACACACACACACACACACACACACACACACTCAAGTACAAGTTTCATAATTACAATGAAAACATTCTTTATGCTTTGTGGAGAGACTTCCAGTTCGTATGAAAGTGCATGATGAAGAGAGTCAATGGTTGATCCCATCGAAACAAGACGGCTCCCTCTCGTTGTTCTGCAATCGTTTGGATTTAATACGATACATCTTTCCTTGTTTCGGGTGAAACCGGGCCTCGCCTGGATGAACATGTATGTCACATTACATTTAAACGATGAGATCAACCAACGAATCTCTTCATCATTCACTTTCATAACAAATGAAGGTCTCCTCAATAAAGTTATTTCAAGAGAGTCATCCAAACCCGGTTAATCTCGGTGTCTACATTCTATATCTATATACTTTCCTTTTTAGTAAATAGTCTATACAGCATGTCGTATAAAGCCAGGTGGTCTTCTTCACTTAGTGGTAGATTGAGGCTTGCCAAAATAAGCCTCAACTCTGAGGATATGACGAACAAAAGCTCGGCTCGTATTCACCCGAAGCTGCGGCAACCAGAACATCTTTTGACGAGATAGACCTACAGATATCTTCCTCATGCATTTTCCTGCGAAATAAAAGTCTTCATAACATGAAAATATTCGTTAGTTTACTTATTTCCTTCTACCAATGGTTTACCTCCTCAAGGCGCTGACTCACTATTATAATCGATTTCATAATGTCTATTATGATCAAATATGTATGATTAGATGAGACATTATGAATGAAGCCTGTTTATGAAAGAACGCAGACATGATTATTATCCTGTTTGTCATGAACTCAGTGCCAGAACTGAAAATCTTGGAAGAGACCACCGGATTGGAGCAGTATGAGGGGAACCGAAACCCTTCCGACAGTTAGTTTTACTAACAAGTCACGTTCACTAAGAACTTAATCGTGTTAGGATGATAAAAAAGATTTACGGACTGATTATGGACATTTTTTTACAAAAATAAATGAGTAGGACTTATGATACCATTAAAGATAAATTAACTTTATATAAAAGGTATATTTACTCTAAGGCGGAAGTTGGATTTTTCCATAATAATAATTATGAATAAAAATTAGTAGTGTATTCAACTGTATTTGCTATAGCAAATAAACATCAGAAAGTGGTTTGGGAAAGGCCTAGGCTTCCTTGAAATTCATTTCCGCTCTGTGACCCAAAGGAACCCATTGCAGTCTGGCTAGTGGCTAGCAGGTTGAGACAATATGTTGCCCTACCACGAACTGGGTCCAAGTCCCGCTGAGGATGCTGATGAGAACAGTTTAGTCGAGGTAGAAACAGAAGTCCATTCCTGTATTTTACAGAACGAAACTAGATGAAATTCATTGGAAACATAAGGCCAACTCGTATGATTACGAGTGCATACAGCTTTTAGATGGGATTTACTGGTAGTCTTAAAACTAATTTATAAACTGCAATTAAATGGTAAAAGGTGTATTCACCTTATTTTGTTTAAGGTAATAAGAGGTCTAGTAGTTTAATTTTTCAGAGAATGATATGAGTAGACCTTTACTTTCCATTTACTTTCACATAGCCTTGCTTTCATAGAAGGTATTCACATCCAAGGTGGACTGAAGTGGACCTTTTGGGAAATCAAGGCTATGCGAAATTCAAGGTAAGCGTTAGCTCTACTTATATGATTGTTGAAAAATTGAACTACCAGTCCCCTATCATCTTAAATGAAATTGTGTAAATAAAATTAATTAAATGTTCTACTGTAAAAGATCTCGATGATTTTTAAGTTTACTCACATACTGAATAGAAAAGGCGCCGTCGATTGTAATGACCAATACCAGATTGCCACATCAACAATCTTACTATAAAATTTAATTTTGGATAGGCCAAACTAGTCATGAAGTTATATGACCTTATGACCCACTTACATTAGTTGCTGAATATCTGAATGGTATCGTGTCGCCACAATGTGTAAGACTCGATTTCGAGTCCCATTAATGATAGTGGTTGAACCAAGGCAAAGTCAAAACCACAGATCAGCATGGATGAAAAAACTTTGTATGAGGCAAAATCTAATTAAATTAAATGGTATCGTAAGACCAACTCATCTCCTTAAATCTCCTTCAGGACCTAGGACAGATGAGCTTTTATGCAATAGTTCATTTTGGCATTTTACTCAATAAATGACAACAAAGATCCTGTGAAGCCTAGACTTTCGTTTATAGTAACCAGGACAGTTTCAACGGTCTAGATTGTGAGGTTTATGCCGGCCTTAGTTCCATTTAATGCTCGTAGTTTAGCTCTTTAAAGTGGCCAGAAGCAACGAAATGTGAAAAGATTGCTTGATCATGTGTCGAAAAGGCTGGCAGGAAAACCGGCCTCGAGTTAGTTATTCCTACTGAAGCTTCGTGTAAATTATGGCCATTCAAAGCTCAAGTATTGCCATAATTACGTGTTCTCCTCTTCCAATCTAATAGAGCCCTTCCATTCTGCCTCCCATAGCAACCCAGCAATGGCAATTTGGGTTATCGTGTCGTAATCTTCAGAAATGCATACAACTTGACTACAGTGGGTAGCTGTATCCCTTCAGGATGTCTTATCTCGAAAGGCCGAACTCTTTTAGATTTGTGTATTCATAGAAAAGTTGGATTTTAAAGCGGTTCTTGGTTTATAATCGCTAAACTCACCATCATTTCAATTGAACGTGTGTAACGAAGAGATGCGAAGGTGAGTCCCTCCAGAAGAGGATAATAGTTTCCTTTTTGCCAGCTCTAGGTTGGATTTACTGGAACATTCTTGTTATCGCTAACAATCTAGTAGCATGTACATGGGTCTGTTTGTGTGTGTTTATGTGCCTCGTCCATCAAGAAGTATCCTAACCATCACTCCGACACACGTCTCGTTCATTTGATGAGCTTTGTGTTTGTGTGTGAAAGAGGAAGAGTTCCTGACATTTAAAGTGAAACCTAATTTTTTGAGTTCAATGTCCTCTCTAATTTTGCACGTAGCTGCAGGCATATCACAGTCAGCAAAACGACATGCTTAAGACCATTTTATCTACATTAACACTTTATTTTATACCGGCCTGATCTGGATAATAGATCAGATTTATCTCTACAAGTGGGAATAACTGAAGAATGTGCCGACCGTTTTTATCCTCCAATTACTCACAGGTTTGCCTATCATTTTAAAGCGAACGTATGAAGTCGAAGTCAGCTACATTAAAATATTCCCCATCTGAAATGTATTTCATTTTTAACAAAGCTTAGCTGATTATCGGCTAATATTATAATCTGAATAGTTATTAATTTTAAAATGAAAAACTTTTGTTTCATAATTAGACATTTCTGCTGGACAGCAGAAAATCTGTCGTTAACTTAATATTACTGTCGCTCTAGTTAATTGAGAATAAGAATAATCTGATCTATCATTGCCATGCTGCCAAATTAAACTATCTGACCAACAGGTTAGAGGCGTTCTTTCATTTTTTTCAATTAATTATTAACTAAAACGAGAGCAAAACATGACCCCATTTCAAGTCTTTGCATCTATTAATAGAATCTATCGGTAGAGGTGAAGTATGCACTACTTATGGATTATTTAAGTAGTGCTGACGATTGGCTTAGATTGTCTGTCATTACCACCCGAATGTTCTTCTTGTTGAGCGCTAGACCTTCAAACATATTTACCACAGACTTTCGATAGAAAT